TATATATAAAATCATAAAACGTACTGGATCCCCAACTAAATACAAAAAGTTGTTATATTAGTATTTAAACTTTGGAAATAAACCTATACATTAATTATAATGCTAGACTAGTTAAATGTATCTGCAAAGGTTAACAAAGATCCACCAAATACTTTTTGAGTTATTGTATTAACAAGAAAGTGACTGAGGTGGTGAGGACTGGTCCCAAACCCATATGTATTTCCCGTCCGGGGAATATAATACCATATAGCAAGACTCATACTCTGGGCTGTGTCTCATATGGCACAGCAATTACAGTGTTCTCCAGCCTAACAGAGCGAAATGCTCAGCACTCAAAGGTACAACAGTAGTTGCATCCTTGAGGTTTCACCCTGTCAGTGCAGTTTTCCAAATGGCCTCAGTTTGTGTGAAATGCTCTTTACTGCTGTCCTTTGGGGGGAACTGATAAGCGCATGAAGAGAGTCTTTTCACGCTTCTGTTCTCTGGAAGGGTGCTCATCTCCGTCTGACTGGCTCCCTCTCCGGGCTCCTCACATTAGCTACGACATGCAGCCCCCATTCCCCTCATGTTAGCCCAGTTATCTAGCTGTTTGAGCATCTCTGTCAGCTCTGAAGTGTAATTACCCCAACTGTAAATTACTGTGTGCTGGAAGACGATGGAGAGGGAGCTGGAATGAATGTGACATGTGAACTCTGTGTGTGTATGGATGCATCGTATGGATGCATCAAAGCAGGCTCCTTGATTTTAGGGTTGACAAGGTGAGGGTGTCCATTAGAGTGCGCCAGTGTGAGACGTAGAGGTGGGCGTTTCAGGTCCAGAAAGGAAACTCCAGACCAAGAATTTGTTTCAACCAACCAGTTCAGTACTCTATGACTGTAACTCTTTATGCTCAACTGGTTAAGTATTGTGTTTTGGTTGCACGTGTACAGTACAGGAAAACAGTCATTTGAAGCAGTAACGTACAGATGTATAGCTTACTCGTATTTTATCAAGTCACTCCATTAATTTTACTTGTATTTCTGTAATGACTGTATGACTTTCAGAAAAGGGTACGGCTGTTGAAAACTGTCAAAAACTTAATTTTTGCTAGCATCACTTTCTAAGCATCAGGGACCTGTCTATATCACAGGATTTTTGGGTCAGCAGAATAACTTGTTGGATTTAAGGTGGCCTGGGCTAAATGTCAGTGAGCAAAGATAAAGTCCATTTAAGATGGGATACCTTAAATCTGACAACTTAGTTAGCTAACCAACAAATCTCACTTCGTGATGTAGGCCCAAGCTCACCAGGTTAATAATCACAGTACAGCTACATATGATTAAAAACAGCAAACATTTTTTAAATTATATTTTGGGGGGCGGGGTCAAAATTTTGGTCAGCTGCTATTGCTATGGACAACCAACACCTGGGTGAGTCACGTTCAGAATGAACAGGTAGATTTCATTACCAGTTTGAGGCGTACAAGCATGTGTAATATCCAGACATGTCAAATAAGTAACATTATCAAATTACTGAAAACATACATATGCAGACGGGAGACACTGGCTTTTCCCTAATGGTGTCAATTGCGTGTGTCCATGTGACCTCCATGCTATGGTGACCTGCAGGGGGAGGCAGTGGGGTGACGGGTGGGTGAGAACCTGAAAGCACTGGCTGAGATTGCAGCAAATGCCCAGGCTAAAAAAAGACTCGAACAGTTGGGCTTCACATCGATGTGCGTGTTTGGGAGCAGGATGGCAGCCAAGTGATGACCTGCTAGTAGAAGGTTCTCCAGGTGAGGGACAGCCACAGGTCCCCCCCCCCAAGATGGGCTTCTCGGCATTAAACGCCGCTGAAATACTCCCCCAAATACACACACAAAGGTAAAACCCTACATAAACAGGCATTAATCACCATCGTCTCCCCCATCAGGTGCAACACCTGTTGCCCATATATGGTCACACATCCTGCTCTGAGTCTGCAGGGACTCCGACTAAAGGGAAAGGACACGCGGTTCCCATGGAAACAGGAGACTGGGAGAGCGGAAGAGTGAAAGGCGGTTGTTGTTGCCTTCCGGCATGGTGACTTTGCTACATTGGAATACACACACATATCTCAGCGACTAGCCAATATTATCACACAGAAAGAAGAAACTCAGGTTGGCAGTGCCCACTGAGAGGATAACAGCTGGGTAGGTGGCTCCCGGGGCATGCTGGGTGGGTGTGGCACAGACCAGGGGGTGGCAGCAGTAGCTGTGCGGACCAGGTAGAGCCAAGGGCCAAATGGGCTGGGCAAGCAATTCTGACAAAACCGACTGAATGTGGTCCCCTAAAGTCCAGGACCCAAAAGAAAAATACCGCCCCCACTCCCACCCCCATGCCATGCTCAGCCCTTGTGTGTGAGGATACATTAGGGTTATGGTAGACTGAGAGTTATGATACTTGGGTTATACCTGTCAGAGAATACTGCCCACATACTCATATCTTTGTCGGGACTCTCAGTTCATTTATATGGGCATAACCCTAATCCCAACTATGACAACTCCAACCCAGCCCTAACCTTAACCATAGGTAATCAAACAAATTACAAGACTTTTGGCATTTTTAGTTTTCCAATTGCAGTCACAGATTTTCATAACATTGAATTTCCCCTTGAAAAAATATCAAAGTAACAGGTTTTTATCACATTGTGGAGACATTTGGTCCCCACAACGTCATATATATATATGATCCACACACACACACACGCATGTGTGTATGAGGCAGAAGGTACTGAGTGTGTAGCAATGGGCAGTGTGTGCGAGTGTCAGAGGATACTGGGTGAGTAGTAAGGCTTCTAACCTTGTTGGATTATTTGGGGGGTCAGTCCCCATAATGATAGGAAAGACTGAGCATAGAGCTGAGATTCTCTACAAGGTAAAACAGCCCAAAGCTTAGCCATCAGCTTTCAGGTGTGCTCGTTGTTGAGTCCACACAATATGTGTGTGTGTGTGTTTGTATGTGTGTGTTTGTGTGCATATGTGTTTGTGTATGTGTGTGTATGTGTTTGTGTATGTGTGTGTATGTGTTTGTGTATGTGTGTGTATGTGTTTGTGTATGTGTGTGTATGTGTTTGTGTATGTGTGTTTATGTGTGTGTGCGTATATGTGTGTTTGCGTATGTGTGTGCATCTTGTCAGACAAAAGTTGTCACAAGACAAGTAAAACTAAAAAACAAACACTTCATATTCTTTTAAATACAGACAAGTAAGTCAGCTAAAGATGTTTGTTTTGTTATCAATTTTCATGTGTTTCTGAGTGATTGTGGTCTGTGGTTAGGGATTGTTAATGGCATCAGAATGGGAGTCACTGTGTATTTACCACAGCTACAATCATGGAGAGTGTGATTTTGTCGCTTGTGCATGTAAGGATGATCCTGAGCCTGCTGGGGGCATGGGGCGGGGCTGGGGTTGACAATAAGAAACAGAGACACTGGATATGAGAGCTAGAGGAGGAGCGAGAAGGAGAGCAGACTCCTTGGTCCTGCAGTGACCCATATTCCTCAATCCTGCAGGCTTTGCCGTTCTGCAGACGGCGCTACACAGATGTTCAGGAGCGTGCCGCGTGTCTTCCTGAAGACGAAGGGCCTGAATGCAGCAGCCCCCAGCCCGTTATTTGTTACCTACCTGCACTCTTTAATCCTACGAAAGGCAATGAAGGCTACATGCAGGACGGCGCTTACAAAGCCACAAATCACTGCCTGAAACAGCCTGACATGCCCACATCTAACACCGCAGGACCCCTAAGCCCTGAGGGTCCCTCCTTTAACCGCTGTGTCATCTGATGCACATGGTGACCAGGACTTTTGCACACAGACATGAAAGGGGAGACACAGATATCTGTATGTGTGTGTGTGTGTGTGTGTGTGTGTGTGCGTGAAGGAAGGATGGAGTGAGATCAAATAGGACCACGTTTAAATCCCGTTAAATGTTTAGTTTAATTCCCTTCATTTGGTTGCAGGATTGATCAAGGATTAGATATCCAAACACCTTCTATATCTAAATATCAAAATTACTAAGTATTCTTCATTCAACTTCCAAAAATGTCATAAGACATTGTGATTCTTATTATATTTGGCATTTTATGACAAATAATACTTCCAAAAAAGACATGACAGCACTGAATAACTTTGGTTCCACACAGGTTCTGTATGTGTAAGTTCTTGCATACATAAGTCTGTGTATCATGTACTGTTCTACGAGGTGAAACAGATTACACAGGTTTTGGGGTTTCCCAACACAGTTACCCAGGATAACACCACTGAACGCTGAGGTACCAATGGTCCAACTCTCCCCACAGCAATGATTGGAACATTTGGGCCTCCCAGCCCCATTTGGTTGCAGTCAGCCCCAGAGGTTCACCCTCACTGCCCCTGCTCTCTCCTCTCCTCCTGGGTGTGGTTTCTCTTTCTCCTTGTTTCTCTTTCCCCCTCTCCATGCAAAGCTGTCTTCCTTGGCCCCTCCTCTTTTTTGTCTCCCACTTCACCCCCAGACTGGGCTCCTTCCAGACCCCCATTCCTGCTCTCACAGGAGAGGCACCTGTGGCTATGCTGACGGACAGCCATTTTACATGCAGACTCCATCTTTTATAGGCCGAGCGTTTCACCTGATGCTGGAAGAGCAGGGAGTGAGCGAGAAGTATGAAGCCCCCCTTTGCCTAGAATATTTCCTGTCCCCCACATGATGTGTATGTGCAGCCCAAGATTGTGTTAAACAGGAGGTGATCGTGACCCCCATGCTTCTCACTAATCAAAGGCTGAAGCGTATCAAGGCAGATGCAGCATTGACAGGATTCACAAAAGACAAGACGCTGTGGCCCGCAGGGGGCACCTACACAATGCCATGGCTCTGCGTTTTCAAAGGTCCATATGGAGGCACCCCATTAACCAATCCGTCAATGAATGGAATGTTGTTTAGTAGACACTGTGTGTGTCTACTAAACACACTGGCTGGCACAGTGTGCGCTATTAACGGGCTGCACTTACCGCTGTGGGCGCTAAACCACCGCGGCGCAATGTGCAAGGGCAAGGCGTCTGCCAGCGACCCCCGGGATCCCAAGTACAGCATGCCGTCTGTATGGTGTCCGCCTCCAGGCTCCTGGAAGCCGTTTCCGTGCGCAGCATCCGAACCCGAACCCCCTCCGCCTCTGTCCGTGTCAGCGGCTCCTCGGGCGGTGTAAAATCCAAACGGCACCGTGGCGCTGTGGTCTATGCCCATACCGGCCACGGAACTCACCGACCGACTCCGCAGTCCCATCGCGCCGCCCGGCCGGTAGTGCCCAAAGTGAGCCGAAGGTGGCACCGCGCTGTCATCCGTCGAGACGCCGGGGAAGGCTCCCCGGGGCCGGCCCGCCGTGCTCTGTTTGCCCCCCATCGCGGAAGTGGTGACTCGCTGTCCGCCGAGAGCCGTGGGAAGAATCGGCCCCCCTATGCGCCCCTGTGTGCGGTGGTCCGCAAACCCCCAGATCCGACCCGGCAAACGGGAGCTGAAAAAAAGGGCTGTCAAGTCTGACCGAACCGGCTGTGTCTAAGAGGCGCAACAGAGCATTTCCCCGAGCGGATCATGGGCGAGATGAACGTCCCAGTTCCCCTCGGATCACAGTATAACCTGAGAGATGGTGAATAATCGCGTTCGATTGAATCACAAAATTAATCCTGTTTTTAACGGGGTGGGAAAACGCAACACGCTCCGTTCCCGCGGCGAACCGCAGGGCGGTGTGTCCCAATCTCAGCCGGAATGGTCGTTCACAGGCAGGCGGCGCTCCTCCGCAGTATCTCCCGCTCAGTTATCAGCCGGTCTGCTCAGCCGACGCAGTGTGTCTGTCCGGTCGCCCGTCGCACGTCGTCGGTGTCCGCTGTCCCCTCCGGGCGCCAGCAGGTTCGGCTCAGATTGCAGCGCTACCTCGCGTTGTCATAGCCGGGCTGCCGTCCTCTCAGCTCTGCTGCTGGAAGACAATAGGGGCGCTCAGTGCGCATACGCGGATTAGCGGCATGGGGATGGAGTGACGGCGAAAACGGTCACGATACTGTATATCTAAGAAGAAAAAAGTTTATAAAGAGAGACGGTCACTTGACGAGCCACATTCCGGGTCAGCATCGCCCCTTCGTAGCAAATCAACAAGACATCTTTGTGTTTGACGAGGCAGATGTGACCCAGTAGAATTGCCCTTATGGAATACACTGCGGGATCAAAAACCTATGAGACTCATGACGGTGCACACGTCTCGGTGTACGTTTGGTAACATCAGATGATATAATCAATCAGGTTTTTGAATTTTCCTGTGAATGCATCACTATAGATTCGTGACAGAAGATGCATGCACCGTAGGTCTGTGTCAGTGTCTGCCTCAGGGATCTCCACCCGAATAACCATGGTGTCAAATGTTTACAAATGTATGTCATGTTACGTCGTGTGTGTACGTGTGTGTACGTGTGTGTTTATAAAGGGCATGCACACCAAGGGTTTAATAAAATACTAGCTATTTATACATGATATTGAATTATGAATACATTGTGGCTTTACATATGAGACTTTATAAGTGCAGCATTCTTAAAGGGATCTTACTGCAGGACAGAATATGCTTGTAGGAAACTCGTGATAGCAATCCAGATTAATTAAGGGTAGCACTCCCGCATCATGCCACCAGCCTCCGCTACCGCCTCCGCTCTCTGTGTGAAGAGCTTGTCTGTCCCCGCTCTGTCCTGCAGTAGGCTACAAAGGCGTGCAGTTACAGTAGCCGGGATCTCTAAATCCCCCATAATATATGTGACCAGCGATTGAGGGCCATTCCGTCCAGGGTGTACACCAGCTTTGTGTCACATACTGCCTGGAACCTACTCCAGGTCCATATGATGCGATAAATGGATGAAGACCTCTAATGGTCAAGCGGGTTACTGCAACCACCTTCAGTAACTTCACCTAGTAGTTAAAGCAAACTTACTAGTAACTTGGCGACATTGTATAAATATGCACATGAGTATATTTGGAGCTATTTATGTTTGCGAACAACTTGACCTTAAAATATTTGAAATATTATCATGGTTATTAATTTATAATAAACAATCCACAAATAATACATAATAAACAACAATTTATTGCAATGTACCCTGGGGCAACTGTGTTGCAAAAGACACTATATAAATATTATTAAAAAAAATAATTGAAATGAACCATATATTAGGGACCACAATCTGATGCTTGTTATGAACATTTACAAAATTGCCTACTAATTTATTGTTGATAAATCTCATGTTGAAAAAAAAGGCAGCCTGATATAATTATTTTGGCTGCAAACTTGTTAATAATAAACTTCATTCATGTCGTTGGGACATATCAATTTATGACACCGTAAAGTAAATGACTGTAATTGATTTGGTAGTTAAATCTTTTCAAGAAGTGGAATTCGCGTACAGAAAAGCAGTTGTACAGATTGAAATGGAAAGAGCTCTTTCGATAGATTAATGTTCATGGTAGCCATCTAAAGTACGACGCTTTCTTTTCGTAAAACTACTAGTAACAGCTACTGGGCAACAGATTCGTAGGCCCCTCACGGCGATCGGCAGCAGCTCGGCTTTCGATTGATGTTGTCTGAAAGGAGCGTAAACAGTGACGTCAGTTCGAATTTGAGCGCTAAAGTGCAGCTTGTGCTCGCGCGAAGGTAGTCTGGATCTGTTCTGTTGTTGAGTTTAGGCTGTGAGGAAGTTATCGGTGCTGCTGAGCATCTCGGTTTAACCTGCCCGGAACTCGCTGAGTTTTAATGGAGAAGCAGTCATATATGCCCGTACCACCCGGAGTGGGAATGGAAGAGAACTTCTTGTCTTTGGACGACATCTTGCTCTCTCACGAGAAGCTGCCCTGCACGACCGAGACCGCTTTTCCTCGGCTCGGTTTTTTGGAGAAGTCCAGCGATGCGAGGGACATCCCCGAGGTAATACCTTGTCACATATAAACTTATTTATCGAAGTCACCGGTAATTTGGGCCTGAGCAGTGGGTCTACGGTGCCGTTAGCGGAGATCGTATCTATGACGGCAGTGTAGAGTGTAACATTTGCTATACCACTAAGACAACAAATACCGTAGCGAATTTAAAAAAAAAATGCTTTACGCTAAGAAGTATTTGGCTCTACAGAAGTATTTCATACTAATGCCAGTCATTATTGCTGCCAAACACCCGCCGTAAGTTTTTCTGAAAACACTCACCTTTGTAAGGCACACCATTTTTTACTTTAAGGCGTTCGCTGTAACCTATGAGGACTAAAAAAAATGTCCTCCTACGAAGTAGCTTGACAGAAAATCCTGCAACATGCTTTGGAGATTGGCAGTCTAGGTTCAAATCCTGTCCCTGCTCTGTATATTTGCATGGTCAATCTGGCCCGAAGTCATGCAATTCGCTGTATTGGTATCTCGAAATTGACCATAATATGTGTGTGTGTGTGTGTGTGTGTGTGTGTGTCCTCTTCAAAAGACTGGTTTCGTGCCTGGGGTTGTTTCTGTGCCCTGTACTACCTAGGATTGGCTCCCCTGTAAAATATAACCAGTTAGAAGATGGATGGATAACATTAGTGGGTGTAAGACAACCACTAGTTACTGTAAGGATTTAGCCTTAAAGCCTGGATCCTCATTTGTGCCATTTTCTAGTTCTGTATGATGATTTGTTGGAGGGCTGGTTTTGTGTGACTGATGCTGGTGTGGCTGTGTGTCGTAGGGAGTGAAGATGGAGATGCCGCTATGGCTCGTCAAAGGCCTGTACGAACATAAGCGCCGCACGCTCTCTGTACAGCTGCCCAAGGTGTACAGGCAGGGCTGGCGCACCGTGTTCGGGGCTGACCCCACTGTGGTGGACCTGCACAAGATGGGGCCCTATTATTATGGCCTGGGCTCCCAGCTGCTACACTTTGACAGCCCTGAAAACACAGAGATTGCCCAGACTGTTCTACAGGTGAGTGCTGCATATGATATCACATGGTCTCTGTACGGCATCCCTCTCTGTTTGCTAGTGATCTGTTTAACTGAAAACAATGGAAATTAAAATGTGTACCTACAGCTATGGCTGGGTGATATGTAATCTCAGTATTTATAGGCAGAACAGCCATTCATGAAATATATCTTGGTATTTTCTGTGATGTTAAATGTTCAGTTGTAAGTCAGTCTTCCATGAGTCAAATAAAGCAGCCCTGACTCTTGACAGTATTCCGTCTGCGCTGCTGTATTTAACTGGCAGCGATGTCAAGTGGGCTGGAAAGCAAAGGCGCTGGTAGAATGGCATTCTGCTGCTTTTCTGCCGTGAGCCGGCATAGAATTTAGTCTCCTTTGGCCACCAGGGGAAGCCATTTCTCCCTTTTTTGCTAAATCCAGGCTTAAACTTAGTTTTGGATTTCTCCTCTTAATGGCTCCGATTAATCAGTGCACAAAGGTAAATGCTTTTAATCTTTTGAAATTAATTTACTCTATATTTACTGATATGCTGTGTTACAGGGTTTTGTGTTTCTACCAAAGCAATTCAGGTTAAGTGCTCCCTGGGGTATAATAGCAGAGCCCCATCTAGGACTTAAGCCATTTACAAGAACAGGTTTTTAAACCACAACATTTGCCTTTGTTCCTGATTTACTTTAGTGTACATGACTTCTTTATGTATAATGTGATTCCGGTCCCTGCTTGCTCCTCAGATGGTTGTGCTTTTGCCTGGCTCACTGCCTGCTGTCTCCGTAGACTTTCATTGGACGCTTCCGTCGGACTATGGACTCCTCTCAGAACGCCTACAATGAGGACACGTCTTTGCTAGTGGAGCGTCTGGATGGCCTGGAGAGAGCGCTCTTCCAGGCTGGGCAGAGCGGGCTTAATGATTTCCAGCGCTGGGAGAAGGGGCACTCGTCACACCTCACAGCCTCCAGCCTGGTTCTCAACTACCGCAAGAGAAAGATCACGGAGGTGCAGGAGTGAGGAGCCAGGGAGCTGGACGGCCCCTTTGGTGGCGCCTCTATCTTTTTTAGCCTTCTTTTGTGTTCACACTGCTGAGTCACTGGTTCCCCTTTTTCGGATTCATGCAGAGAGGTTAATGAGCACAGTTTTGATCTGAACGTGTGATCCGAGCAGCGCACAAACAGGCCACCCGGTTGAGCCAATGGGAATGTGGAGCTGTGACCTGCCAGTGCTGCACAAAGACCCCCAACGTCAGACAAAACAAAAACAAATAAAATGTGACCCCTGGATGGAGAGAGCGAACACAGAGTTGATTGGTAGCAGTGGGGGTGCAGTGGACAACTTTTACCGTGGGCCCCTAATCTCTGTGGACCTTTCTGTTTTTGAATAAAAACTGTTTATTTTCTGTTAATGTTTTTGTTTTCTTTTTAGGGTTTTTTTTTTCTGGAAACCCAAGGTGTCTATAGAACACCTGTAAATAGTAACACATATAAATATTCTTTAATAGCTTGTCACCACAGTGCTGTGGTGTGTCCATTCCTCCTCTTGTCGGGTGCTGGCTGTCCTTGTCTCCCAATTGCCAGATGTATTTTCATGAACGTGTATGTGATCCTTGTTGTGTGTGGGTGTGGGTGAAGGTTGTGGGCTGAGCTCAGACCGGCCCACTTTGAAACCACGCGCGCACTGCAAGAGTAGGGCTACAGGCCTATTCCATGACTAATTACCAGAGCAGATGGTTACGTGTTAAGCGAATGTAGCTTTATGAATTTTAAAAGCATTTCTTATCTCTACCTTGCTGTTAAAATGACATAACAGATCATGCAGGGGGGTACAGGCCTGCCTCACATTAATAGGCAAATCAGAATACATTAGTTGTCAGGTTTGTGTTTGGAGCCTGAGGGTTTGTTATATGAAGTTCCAATCCAGATATATTTACAGTGTCATATGAACCTGGGTAAGACACCTGGGCCCATCACACATTGTCATGTGTGTTTTTATAAGAACTGTTTGATATTGGAGTCCTTGGAACTGTTTTGGAAAGACTGTCTAGCTGCAGCTCTTGTAACTGCTGGTTTATGTCATGTTTGTTTTGTGTGTTTTTACTTTGAGTTCTCGTTTCCAGTTTATCCATACAGGAAGCTGTAAGTGCACAGCCTTTAAATCCATAACGGAATTGATCTTGATGAGCCCGGAAGGTGGCCGAAATTTGACCCTCAGTGTTTGTTTCTGCTTGCGATAGAGATCGGTTAGACTTTGTGAAAGCCAACAAACATTAAATTCAGGGAAACACTGCTTGCTGACTGTTTGGCTTCAGTGCTAACTCAGGAATGCTTGGTTTTTTTCCCCCCAGACTCTCAATCTTGGTATAATAGTAACTGTTTATAGAGGAAAGGCTGCTTTGTCGTAAACTTGATGTGTCTGGGGCCCATGTTGCCATGTTAGGCCTGGCGGTGGGACTGGCAGGGGTAGCTGCTTGTTTGTGTCAGAGTGCTGCCTGCCTGCTCCTCGCGGCTGTGCTGCTGCTGCTGCTGCTGCTGAGAGGTGACATTCAAGTTAGTGACAAGGAGGTGCGGCTGTCGTCATGTGCATGAGTCACTGTGCGAGGCCCTGGGAGTGAGCCTGCGTGGCACTGTGCCGAGTGCAGCCAGCCCTCCCCCCACACACCGAGGGGAGACGGAGCTCGGGACCATCATTTGACCTTGAGCACGCGGTTTGGCCTGGCTGCTGCCCGCCAAGTTACGTGTGTGACGTTCTGCGTGTGCTTAAGGTCCTGTTTACTATGGGAGAGGTCCTGCTCTGCGTTATCTATCTGAGCCTGTGGGGATGCTGTGGAGCTGGGCTGTACTGACCTGAGCTTTGATGGAGGTGTCCGTTCAGCCAGTCAGCGATGGTGTTGCTCTTGCAGAGCTCAAGGTGCATCAGGTGGCTATAAGCTGTTAACTTGTCTGAAACTTTGCCTGTCCTGACCAATGTCGCTTAGGACAGAAGCAACAGGCGGGGTTCATGGGAGGAGGAGGGGTCCACTGTGGTTGGTACATGTGGCTGGTATCTGCTCTTAATAGGATGTGAGTGTACAGGTCAGATGAGGAAAGGTGCATCTCATATATTCTAGCGCCCTAAATATTGCCTGAGCTGTGGCTAATTCCTGACATCTGGGTGGTCCTCTTACCTAATTTTCTTCAAGGCCGGCCAGAAGATCCTGAGGATTCTAGTTTGACAGACCCTGGAGTTGATGGCACACATTGTTCACTGGGGAGAAGGAATCTGAAACAAATGGTTTATTTAAACAGCAGTCAGGTTCAGCATGATTAGTGTACATGCGATTAATTAACAAGTGCTTTTGGGGAGGGGGGTGTCTGCTGTACTGTGTCAATAAAGGGAATACTTTATTCTCAATCTTCGTAAACAGCTGCATTTTATCTGATGAGTGATGCACTCTGGGTATTATTTTATCTTGACATGCTATATATGGGAATTGCTTAGCTGTGTGTGGAGTGTTATAGAGAATTATCTGAATCTGAATGAAAAGGGGGTGTCGATGTCACACCTGGAAGTATGAGCTCTGTCTTAGTAACTCCCCGCTCAAGGTGAGAAGGAAGGTCTGGCCGGTAAACAGGGAATGGTGGCTCTGTCCACCCCCGTCGTGTGGTGCCCTCTTCCACACCATGTGCTCTTCCAGAGAAAGCATGGCGATGCACTCTAGAAAAAAGTGGCAAACAACAGAATGGAAAGAAAATAACCCTCTCTGGCTGTTGCCAGGCACGGAGTCGGGGGGGGGGGCAGTAAGGTGGAGCTCAACAACTCACCCTGCCAGCGGGCAGAGGGAGGGGGCTGCAGCACAGAGGACTGGGGGCTCTGAAGGAGCTTTTAAGCCCGCCCCCTCAAGACACTCCTGAAGCAGCTGCCATGAAATGGTTCGATCATCCTCTGTGGAAGGGAAGCACTGAGGGAGATGGCTCTTAGCACTGTGCCTGTGTTCTTTCAGTACCTGAACTGGATTGGCTGTGTATCTGGGGGGATGGGCGGGGGTGGTGATGCGTATCTCACCTTCATAAATGTGTGTCTGTGGAGGGGATTGAGGCGGGACACCACCGACCCCATGTGGCTGAAGTGGATCTGCAGCTGGCTGCGCAGATCGTCTGTTGTGTTATAAATACAGCCTGCAGAATGTCTCCTTCTGAAGAGATGTGACTCAGGCATGAATGCTGCTATGCCTTCAGCTGAGACATGTATAGACAATTACATGATGAAGGCCTCCTTGCAGAATATTACCGTTCTTTGTACTCCGAAGTCATGTTCTGGGGCTTGCTGCGGTATTTTAAGGCAGCATTAATGCTGTATGAAATGGTTGTCATGGAGCTGTGTGCTTTGTGTTCCTGTGTGAGCGTGTGTGAGAGGGATTTCTGGGGTGCCTCTAGGAATATCAAAATGCAACACAAGCTCAAGTTAATCTGGTTAATCTAAAGTAAATACATAGTTACGTCTGCATATTTCCAATAGCACCCAGGGCACACTTCCTATACACTACGACTTGCTCTGATTTTGAGTCCGGTGTTTTGTTGATTTTTATATTTAGATAGACAAGAATATTTGGACCTCAGTAGACAAGGTTTAGGTCCAATAACTACGAATGGTCCTTAAAATCACACATTGCTATAAGTGTTCAGCACATATTTCGCAAAATAATGATTCTCTAAAGTGTTCCCTCTAAAGTCTTATTAACATAAACACCCACCTTCAGCATCCCAAGGGGCTTCAAAAGGGATTATGTGGTAGTTCTTTCTTCCCAAGAGTGTCTGTGAGTGAGAGGGAGAGACTTTTGTCCCTTTTGCCATCTGCTAATCAGGCTAGGCAAGGTTCTGAAGTGTTCCCTGAAGTCCTCAGGGTGGGCCATTTTTTCCAGCGATAACTCCTGCAGTGAGCGTACTCGTGGCCTTATCACCTGTCACCACTGGGGGGCTCTGCACCAGAGAAGAATGGGGTTTTGGGGATGAAGGACAGCTGCTGACCCTTGGTGGGAGGGGGTGTTTATCACAGACTGTCCCCTGGGTGATTTAACACGCCAAATGCAGGTAACATGAAATGTTTTGTGCAATATAATCACGTTTGCTTCCTAGCACTGATTATAGTCCTACCGTGTACAGACAACACACTTCCAGGAAACACAGCATCCAGACTTTCATATCAGCTGAACTGTCGCTCGTGTAAGAACATGGTCTCTTCCCACGGAGGCTAGACTTGGACTGGTTCTCTGTGAAACCACAAAGCAGATGCCATAGACACGTACGATGAATGTGGTGCTTTTAATGCCTGTTGTGTTTATTATTATTAAATTTATTTTTTAGCAGCTTCAATTGGTTACTCAGAGCATGAATCTGCTTTCTCACCACCTGAGAAGGTAGGTCTGGTAGCTAGAAGTGTCTGTGTGCTTGTCTATCTGTGATCAGGTGTCAGGACACCCTTGGCCCTGATGTAATTGGTCTCAGGTTTACAGGTCACTTATGGCTGTGAGACATGGACAGAGAACCAGATGATGGACAGAGGTGAAGATCTGATAGCAAATGTCAGCACCGCGAGAGCTTGATCCTGCGTGTTGGGAATGAACACCTTCTGCTGCGAGTGGGCGACTGGGAGTGACTGTCGCTGAGCAGAGAGTATCACATGGAGCTTATTTCAAGTCCTGTTAAGACTGTGTGCCACACAGGGCTGTAGGAGACTCCTGAAGGACACTTTCATTTTACTGGCTGTTCCGTTGCTGACCTCACTAAGTGATACCCTATCAACAAGCAAATGAGGCCAAAAAGAACGGAGGGGGCCCAGTTGCCGATCTCTATTTGAAAGGTAATATCAAACATGGAAAAATTATCATCAGTGCTACAGAAGAGAACTGCAGAGTAAACAGTATCCATTTGCTTATATGCATACATATACATGCACATACATTTAAATGCGCTGCGATTTTTACTTACTGGATAATAACACTTTATTTTTTCGTTGCCTAACAATTTTCCTCTCGTAATACTGGGAACCCAACTGTGTATCCCAGGTAACGGGGTTACAGTCCAAGAAGTTACAGCTGCTTTGTGGCGCCTTGTGGAAATTACCGTGGCCATGTGCTGTTTTTTTTTTTTCTTTTTTGACTTTTCTCAAGTTTCAAGCTTTAAAAAATGACCAGGTTCTGCACAGTGCTGGTCCAGGATCAGTAACAAACTGCAAACTACCACATCTAAAAGGAATGCAATGGGACAGTGCATTTAGTAATGAAAACCATATAGAATCTGTGGAAACAGTTTCCAAGATGAGTACAATTTTATTTATTTTTTCAGGATGCTTTCTTGCAATGTTGCACATTCTTTGGTTCTGGGCCTTGGTCCTTGGGTATATACTGCAAACATAACATTAGTGGGCTGTTAATTTAAAATCTATTGTGTTTTCACTGACATCTAGTACCTGGTTTGTGATTGGTAAGACCAGCCATTTTGTGTTGTAACACTGTTTCTGATGTATTCATTAGAAAGTGTTATCCATCTATGCATGTATCCATGCATCGTCCATCCATCCATATCGTAGCACTTGTCTTGGCGAGGATTGTGGGAATCCTGGAAGCTTTGTGAGGCAGCCTAGGGCGATGGTGGGTTGGGACACACTCTGGATTGGATGCCAGACTATCATACATGCACACACTAGCACAACCCTGGACTTACGCAATACTCAGAGTGGAGAAGTGTCAGGAGATATGATATACCTCAAATTATGACTTTAATCGCATTTTGTTAATCGTTTTCTCAATTGTGACGTCTGTCTTTGAATATAAAGATATAAAATATCACAAGACGAGGTTGTGTCCCTGTCACCAGAAGGTCATTGGTTCAGATCCCGTTGTTGGCAGACGGATGTCACCTTTGGCCTCTTGAGCAGGGCAGCATTGGGGCCTCGAGCCCCAGTTGCTGCAGGGCCTGTCTGGCCCAGCTTTTTCCAATGTACGTCACTTTGGATAAACATTAACATAAATTAACGTAATTTCAGGCCTGGCTCACAGAGCTGTGCCGCAAAGAACCTTTCATAGACCTGCATGTCCACATTCAACGGCTATCCAAGACCTTTTCTAGAAGGATAAAATGGTGGCCTTTTCACTTTCAGAGTGGATGCGTGAGGACAGTGAGCCGTGACCTCTCCTGAAATGGTCACTGAAATGGTGAGTAGACCCAGCATCACCTTGTCCTGTCTCTTGGAATCACATCAGATCCACTTTGGATGCCAAAATTAGTTTTGTAACGTTCACATCACAGATGACGAGTAACTAATTACATCTCGACTCAGCCAGTGGCACTTTTAAATCGAGCAAGTCAATTAGCATTTAAGATCGTCTTTACCCTTAGGCTGTGACCGATTTCCTAGTGCCTAGCAGACATGCTGTGTTCATTATTCCTGATAAGACCAGTCCTTCTTCTGAAGCATTGTAGTGAGTGGTGATTGGTAAGATGTGTTCATTTTCCACCTTTCGTGTTATAACTGGAGCCCCAAGGTCTGTGTACAGCCTCTTTGTTTTGGTCCTTCTCAGTTTCGTCGAGCTGGTTGTGTTTATTCGCTGAGCCTGTTATTGCGGCTGCTTTGGTGTGTCCCTCCCAGCGGGGTCGTCCTCTCGGGTTCATTGTGCTTGGCATGGCTCCATATGGGGCGCTCTGCCTCTTTCGTAATTCGCTTTATGCTCACATGTGGCCTTTTAGCAGGGATTGCCATGTGTTGTATGTTAACGGGTTGGCCAGATTCAGCCCCGGAGTGCTGCAGCATGTTCCAGAAAGTTCTAGTGTGTTCCGGCAGTCCCTTCTGAGTGGCCTCTTGTGTGGATTTTTTTTTCTACCCTGCATCTATTTCCTCCCCCTCCTCTCCCTCCTTTTTTGTGAGAAAGCGGGGAAGACAGCGATCGTAATGACATCCTCGCAAAGAGGAGGATCGGGCAGTGGAGTCCGACGGCAGACGGAGCGTGTATGAGTGTGTGTGAGCGTGTGATTGTCTGTGGTGGGGGGCGGGTCAGTTGGCAGATGTCCCTTTCATCTGTTGTGCTTCTGGGCATAATCATCTATGGGTCTCACAGAACAGAAAAATAACTGTTAATGCCACACAGCCAGGCTGGTGGGAATCATGTTGGGTACAATTGGGCTGTATGCTGACAGATACTCTGACATACACTGAGAAGGAATTGCGACGGGAGCATGCATTAGACTGCAAGAAGGTGGCGACATGGCAAGTACAATGTCGTGCATTCAGTGATCGGTAGATATGTGATATTTGGTAAATGTAGATAATGGAAGAGAGAGAGGCATATGCAGCCCCATATATGTACTCGAACCCCTCCCTCCCATTTGTTCACCCTCTTCCTCTCCCCCAGTCTGTCGAGGTGGCATGTTCGCGCCAGGCAGCCGAGCACTGCATCATCTGGGCTGACACGTGCTTTCTGTTTATTGCTACAGAGGAGGAGGAGGAGAAATGGAAAGATGTAGAGATGGGAGGGCTGAGAGAGTGTGAAGGGGCGGGGGCGGGGCCGCAGACTGGGGGAGAATACAGATAGGAGCGACCTCATAGGACAGACAGCCTCTGAGACGCGCGCGCGCGCGCACACACACACACTCACGCACACACACGCACACATTCCCGAAGAGACAGAGGGAAAAGCAGGAGAGACAGCCAGACGCTGACTGAGAGAGGAGAAACCTGCACCACCATTTCAGGTACGATTCTGCCTCCCACCCCACGCTGCTCTGCTCATTTTGCTCTTTATTTGATTCAGTAATTTATTTATTGCTGTTGTTGTTGTTTCCGAGCTTTGGCGGGGTCTGACAGCGGGAGGTGTCTCTCCAGGATTGTTGTGGTGTCTGAGACTCTGAACTCGTTAGGTTAACCTCCTGAGATGCTGGGGGGGTTGGGGGGAAGGGGGTAATGGTACAACGAGCGCTGCTGAGGGAACCCACGCCCCGTGTGCCCTGATGCGTGTGCGCTTGCCGTGGATCTGTCACGCCATCACGGGTACGGCGATCGACACGGACACAAAGGGGGCTGCCGGAGCTGAGCACTTCTTCTGTGCAAAGCAGTGAGCAACATTGGGGCCGCAGTAATACAATCATGTGGCTTGGAGATAAGAGCTGACACTCTCCAGTGACAGAAATGACGGCACACTGGATGCTTCCTGGCGCCTGTAGCTCAGACGGGGACGAGGTCATGCATTTTGTTTACCGATGCTGCTGAAAGCCCCGTCCCTCAGCTCTCTGCCGTGACGCCGAGGTCGTTATTCCATTTGGTCGACAGAATCTTTTGTTCCTCTTGGGTAACTTGTTGATACCGGGAGGTGAATAAAGGGTGGGTGTGCAAGGTCACGGCGATTTGTACGCAACACCCAGGGCAGACAGGGTCCATTGGAGGGCTGCTGCTGGCTGGAACCGGACTTCAGTGGACCGTGTGGGTGTGTTCTGGGTTCCGCGAGACGCCATGTGCACTGGCCAAACAAAACCAGGCGTATCGTGTTCGCGGTGAATTCCCGGGCAAGTAAGATCAACACACTCTAATCGTCCCCCCGGGACATAACACTGTCCGAAAGGTAATATAAGAATTATTATTACGAGAAAGAAAAGCAGTTTTGAGTTTAACACTTGCAAGAGCGGAAGACGGATGAACGTGTCAGTGGCTCTGCTGGCAGGTCAGTGCTGCTGAGATGCCGCCTTGCGTTTCTGTGGCTCTGTGTCCTATGCGAGTTCCCTCGTTTACCGTCAACTGGTTTGGTCTGGTTTCGTTCAAATAGATGGGGCCTGGACTGGTGGGGAGCTTCCCTGCTAAGGCTAGCTGCCGTGTTGCACGGAGCCTGCTCCAGACCATGTACGTAGCTTCGCTGTGTGTGCGCGGCAGCTTTCCGCCTCCCTCCTTATCTCCCCTCGATTTGTCCCTCATCCTCCACCCTACCCCCCCCTCCCACCGCACCTCCATCTGGTCATCAGCCAGCCCTTTCAGTGGGGTCGACGGCAGGAGGTCGACAGCGGGCGGTCGCCTGGCGACGGTCGCCCCGGCGTCCCCGTCGTGGCCCCCCTCCCGTCGTGACTGCGTGCGTTTCTGCTGGGCTGGGGCCATGACATTCCTTCATGTTGGACTTGTACCCATCTGCTTTAAAAGCTCTGGATGTTCTGTTTGGGATTTTGATTCTGGAAGCGCATGGCCTGTCCATCTCACATACCTGTCACGTCTTTGTTTTTTGGTTGAGGCAGAGGGGTGGGGAGGGGGGGGAGTGAGGGTGGGAGAGGGGGGGGGTTGAGGGTGGGGCTGGTTCCATTTGAGATGAAGCCTCACTTTTTCAATCAGATGTTTGAGGCGACGAGAGTCCGCACATCTGATCTTTCGGAGAGGAGCTTACTGAGGGGATCACGACATACTGTTTGGGCTTTGGGAATGGTGGAGAGGACTTTTCTACATCCCAGCAATTGAGCAAGCTGATCTTGTGATCCACAATAACTGATATGGCTTCTAAAGAGGATTTATATGAGTATCTGACTGGGGAGGGGGGGGGGGGGGGACATGTCCCGATGGGGGCTCGTGTGTCGCTCAGCTGAATTATGAGATTCTTCTCCCAGGGCTGGCTGATCAGAAAACCCTGCCTGTCGGAGGCTCTTAGCCAGCATTAGCATCTGTAGGCACAGCGCAGACGGACAAAAACACTAGCAGCATCTCCTGCTTGTGCACCATCGGAGCTTCACACGGGATGGACCGTTTTTGAGAAACATAGTGGAGCCCGAATGAATTCAGGGTGGTTTTGGGAAACAGGACTACTGCTCTATAGGTTCCCTTCTTCTTCCAGTCAAAGTTTCCTGTACATCTCTGATGGCTCTGGAATATTCAGCCATGGGGATGTTTGTCAGAGTGGAGGTGAAACAACCATGTGGGGAATGTGAATCGGTCTGTTTTGCCTGATTTCAGGCTCAATCTTCCCGCCTCTTGTGGAAAAAGGTGCCGTCTAGTGAATTTTTAAACACCAGGCTTTTGTGCCCGTGGCATCAAAGGTCTGAAAAAGCTGCTGGCTCCTCTGAAGGTGAAACTGGGCAGCGAGGGGTTAATGATTCAGTGCTGGCAGAGCCCCGCTGAGGGCCGCACACGGCCTCTCCGTCTGCCCGGCTGGCACCGGACCTGAGCCCCGGATGCGGGCTCTGTATTTTGGCTGCCGGGCACGCCAGCACACCCCGAGGGCAGAGGGGGGTCCTTCCGCTTTATTTTTAATCAACAAATTCATTTTTGGCACCGGACTCAGCAAACTCTACACACACTGTATATACGTATATATGTATATATTTTAATAATGGCTGCTTTTCAAACAATGCCCATTTTCGGAGTCAGTCTGTTGCTGGGTATGGGAGTGGGGGGGGGGTGTCACACAGTGGCATGGAGCCAGTTCAGGGCTTTGATGGCGCTCGAACCCATGGCGATCCCCTCCAACGGGCTCTGTGCACACAGAGGGCGGGGACAGCAGTGAGCTGCTCGAAGCAGAGGGCGACGTCACCAGAGCTTTCCTCCTGTCCTCCGTGAGGCGGTCCGAGGAGCCGGGGGCCGGGAGGAGGCTTTTAAAGGCACGCGAGGCTTATGCCTGAGCAGAACTCGGAGAGATTTCCTGAGCTCTGCCGACAGTTGGCATGGCAACGAGTTTGGCTCCAAATGCGGCCTAGTTAGATGTCGGTGGAAAACCAGAGAATAGGGAAAAAACAAAAAACGTCTTATATCCTCTGTGAAGAAAATACACTTTTTCTGTTTCCTTGTCTTTGAAGGACTGGAAAGGATTTCTCCGCTGTTCTTACTAGGTATAATATAAGCCCATAGGGACTGTAAAATTTTCAGTAATACAATGTGTACTTTCCCAGTGAACTCTTAAACCAGGAGGGCCCCTAATGTTCTTCACTAACACATTACAGTATAGTTGCAAACCATAATCAAATCTGTAAAACTGTTACTCATTAAAAAATCCATCCATCCGTCTTCCAAATGCTTGTCTCGGGTCACAGAGAACCAGTCCCATGAAGCCCGGGGCCATCGCAGTACAAATACTGTCATGCTGAAGGGGAGCCACATAAACACTGGGCTAGCATGCAGCCTAACAGAGAACCAAGGGTGGGATTCAAGCACTCGCCCTGGAGGTGTGACGTAATAGTGCTGTCCCTTGGGAAATTACTAGAGATTTTGTACAAGAAAATATTCAATATTAAAATTTCCTCTTGTACTTGCCAAAGCATGTACTTGTAATTTGTCAATATTTATTAATGAATGTCTAATGATTAGCTTAGCATCATGGCTCAGTGGGTTGCACTATTGAGTCACACCTCCTGCGTTGGGGTTTGAATCCCCTGCTCTATGGGTGTGAATTTGGGCTGCATGAGGCTCAGTCAGTTAAAGATCTGTGCCAGTGTTCAGAATGCTGTGGGTCTGAATCCTATGCCCCGCAGAGAACCCATTCACATAAGAGCGGTCCAATGGATCTGACCAAAAGATTAACTGCAAGGAACCTTCATTTCCAGTGTTTGTTCACATATTCACATGCTTCTGCTTTTGAATTTGATTGGGCTCCTCCAACCATGCTCCAATTGGATGGCTGAGCTCAGAAACAGATGGGAGAAGTATTTGAACTTGATTTACCTTATCATTTTTTGAGCTTGATTTATAATTTCTTGTGGCATTTTCAACTAGAATAACCTTTTTAACTTGCCTGACGGGCATTGTCTTTTCGAGAAAGGCTCTTTAATGTGGTGAGAGTGGAGGCTTTCCAGCTGTCCTGTTTCTCTGTGCTCCATTGTATTCTGCTGTTGATTTGTTGAGGATTGAAGGCTGTGGTAAATTAAGAGTGGGATAACTAACTGCTCCAGAGTCTGAGGGCAGGGCTGCAGTGGAGGGAGGAAGGTGCAGATGGATTCTGGCCAGAACCCGTGTGGGAAGCAGAATGGGGTGTCCTGCTAGTCTGTTACGAAAACTTCTCCTGTTTCTCTAACCACACCTGCCACTGCTGTCTTACCATCCAAGCTAAACATCAGTCTGTGGCAAAGGGGGAGGGGTGGTGTGTTATTGCTGCTTGGGCCATGTTTAGGTCTTGCTGTGTCACACCTTAAGCTCCAATTGAGTTTTCAGTGTCCCCACGCGACTCAACCCCCCACCCCCCAAGGTACAGAATCCCATCCCTCTGATTAATCCGTCTGCCCACAGCACACATCACACACAGCCCAGTTAGGCCTGTAGATGTGATATATAACCATTTTATTAAAGTAGATGCTTGACCATTTGATATAAATCCTTTTAGATGAAATGGCAAATGAAATGTCTAATATACTTTAGAGGGGGAGGGGAGATTAGGGCTAGTCCTGGAGGGGGTGCCAAGCGTGGAGCCAAAGCCAAGTGACGCATGGTGGGCGGGGGGGAGGGATTACTGATCTGTATGAAACGCCACCTCGGCCGGCAAGTGGGGGCTCCAGGGCCTCAAAAGCCTCCAGCTGTAGACAAGGATAGATCCGCTGAGGTTCTGGAAGCTTCTGAAAGCTTTTGTCGCGCTGCTGGCTGAGTGGATTACCACAGCCTCAGTGTCACTGTACCAATGACACATCCATAGATGTGGATGTTGAATTTGGGGTGCAGCATTAATAGTGCAGAAAGTTCCAGATCGACTGGAGGGCACAATTGTCCTAGTGGAGAGTGAGTTGTATTGCTTTGGACTTTGCACGCCAAGCAGTTCTCAGTTGGCAGAGAGAGAACCTGGCAGGACTGATGAAGAAGGGGAAGCAGGGGAGGAGGCTCTGCTCTGGGCTGCCTGTGCTGGGCTGTTCGCCGACGCTCCTCCATCGCTACTCACCGTCCTCGTCCCTGGCAGTGCTCACACTGTGGATGTTCTGTTTCACGTCGGGTGTTTCCATACTACGGCATTTCCTCAAAGACTCCCAGAAGCTTGTTTTGTGTGTCTCGTGCTCTTACTGGGTGCTCGAGCCGCAGTTTGTGGTGACTCTGTGCACACGTGTGTCAAGAGGAGCGTTTCCCTAAACTTGTGGAGACATTTAGTTAGCCATTAATTTTTAAGATGATTATTAATACTTGTATGTTCTTGGGTTTTATTGGAAAGGAATCAAACATAGCAAGTCCCCACAATGATAGGTAAACGTGTGAGAATGTGTGTGTGAGAGTGTATGTGTAGAGACAGTGAGTGCATCCAACATTTCTGCCCTGAACTGCTAAGCTGAGAGTGAATAGTCAGTGGTGCCGGGAGATTGCAACGGATGCTTGGACGTTGGGTTACGTCCTTTGCCTTATCCTTGACCTCAGTTGCAGTATCTCTTAGCGGATGGATAATCTATCTTCTGCTTAAAGATGGACGATTCGGCAACCCCTGCCCACTCTCTGATGACCGGCGTGTACTGGTCCATCACCTGACATTGCCAGCAGGGGGCACTCTGCAAAGATTCAAACCATATGGTATCAGTTTTACTGCACTGTAGCCTAATGTGCATTAGCCCACTTCGACCAGGCAGTGCTAATGGCCGGAGCCTCAGCCGGGCCTAGCCCAGTCATACACATGGGTCCTATTGCCCTGATCCTCATTGGTTCACCAATGCCCTTGTACCCAAGGACAACAAACTTGCAATAACCCCAAAAGAAGTGATTTAAAGTGTAGAGAAGGTGAGGTATGGCTGAGGGGCCATGAGTGATGTGCAATGATACGGGTGGACTATGTGAGGTATGGCTGAGGGGCTATGAGTGATGTGCAGTGATACNTGGCTGAGGGGCCATGAGTGATGTGCAATGATACGGGTGGACTATGTGAGGTATGGCTGAGGGGCTATGAGTGATGTGCAGTGATACAGGAGGACTATGTGAGGTATGGCTGAGGGGCTATGAGTGATGTGCAGTGATACAGGAGGACTATGTGAGGTATGGCTGAGGGGCCATGAGTGATGTGCAGTGATACGGGTGGACTGTGTGAGGTTTGGCTGAGGGGCCATGAGTGATGTGCAATGATATGAGTGGACTATGTGAGGTATGGCTGAGGGGCCATGAGTGATGTGCAATGATACGGGTGGACTATGT